AATGCAAATCAAATAAAATCAAATAGTAAGTGGTCATGAAATTTAATGGTTTGTTTAAATTCTTTTTAGACTAACGAAAGTTCTTTATACTAACCACTAAATTAACGAGAGTAAATTAATTAAATAATAAATATTCACATAAATATTCACTAATAGCTTATTTAAATACTTGGATTAATAAACGTTCTTTATTTTACGAATAAAATGAAATCAAGTGGTATTGTAAATATTCATGAAGTTTAATAACGGTTCAGATCAACAAATGTTTTTATACTCACATTTATGAAGTAGCTTATTTTAAATAATTGAATAAATAAATGTTCCTTCTATTACGCACTAAATTAACATGAATTAAATGTGAAATTTAATGGCTTATTAAATTATTAGAATTAATAAAAGTTCTTCAAATTTAATGCACTGAATCAACAGCTAATATTCATTACCATATAAAATAGAAAAATTCACGTGAACATAAATGCACAAATTGATATTTAAAATAGAACCGTGATTAAAATAAGTAAAAACAAGATATATTACTAGGATTTTTATAATATAATAATGTCGATACGTTCATAAAAAACCACATGTAATATACAAATATAGAAAAGCCAAGTCACAAGAAAGGGTTTACATCGGCCACATTAGATAGTCAACTTTCAAACTTATCCACATTCGCCACATTCAAGTAAATTTAAAAAGTACAGCCAATCGGTCATCCAACCAGATGCGAATACGTTAACTGTAAAAACATTTCAATAAGCCATAAATTTATCACACATATAGTCACTTGGCAACTTTTAAACGGGAAATTACCAACCCGAAATTGCACGTGTTTATATATTTAGAAATCATAGCCAATTGTGGCAACCAACCAAACGCAAGATTTTGTGGACGAACGTTGTTTCACTTTCACTTACGGAAAACTCCGTTCCTGGTATAGAAATCGGATCTCCAGGATCTAATTCTATATGCAAACCGCGATAAATCATGATTTGTAACACGTACACAAATTATTGATACGTATAATTTCCCAATCACTATATCAAGATGTTACACGACTGATCCTCACCCGGCGTGCAACATATAAAAAAATACCAGATCATTTCGCTAGTGCATGTTATAATTATAATCCCCACCATTTTTTTTATTATAATAAAATGACATAGGCAGAAGTTTGTTTGATTGGCTGATGCAAATCAATTGCCCAGGTAACTCTTTAAAGGACTTTTTTGAGAACATAACGTTTCGATAAAAAAACATATATCGTTTTGTTTGAGTGCTAGAAAGCCACCTTTAAAAATAATCTAAAATAATTTAAAATTCAAGAGGTGTTAGCTTATTACCTATTTAAAGAAAGTCGCTACTAAGCTAACACCTCTTGAATTTTAGATTATTTGATTATTTTTAAAGGTGGCTTTCTAGCACTCAAACAAAGCGATATATGTAAAAATTTTGTCTTTTTATCGGTGAAACGTTATGTTTTCAAAAAGTACTTTAAAGTGTATAAGTTACCCAGGCAATTAATTTGCATCAGCCAATCAAACAAACTTCGGTCTATGTCATTTTATTATAATAAAAATGGTGTGGGATTATAATCATAACATGCACTAGCGGAATGATCTGGTATTGTAAAATAATTTGTTATATGTTGCACACCGGGTGAAGGATCAGTCGTGCAACATCGACGGTTCCTCCTGTTATCAAGATACCCTGACCGTATGTGAATAAACGGAAACTAAGTTTCCGCTAATTCCCAACGGATCAGGATATTATTATTACTAATTTAAAATTACTAATAATTATAATTAATTACTAACAGTTTACCTAAGACGGGAATTTTAAAATGAATGTGTTCCAATTGCAAATTACTATAAAATACGTGCGATATCGAATTTAATTTCTCTTGCTTATAAACTTCGAAAACAAGATTGATTATAATATCATAAAAATATCAAAATAATTTTTTACATCACCAATTTCGATGGAATCTGTCAAATGGCCATTAACTTTAAGAATCATTCCAGATAGGCTTCACGTTATTGTTTATAGTCACTTCATTTATCATCGAAAGCCTGAAGACTCAGATAACCCTCTTCAAAATGTAATGTGTTAATAATTTTTTGTCAAATTTCTTGCATCATTATTAATTTAAAAAAATAAATAAGCGAAAAATTGTAAATTATATATAAACACAAAATAGGAACCACCTACAATTTCAATGCCCTGCTGGACTTTCATCTCAAAGGGTATGTCTATTTACGGCCAAAAAGAGATCTGTTTCACACTTCTTCGTAGTGAAGATGAGAAGGAAACTGACTTTCCTATACAGGTTGCATATCTTTACCATGATTTTTATTATTATGCGTACAAAGGAAATAT